CAGTTGACGATGAAATCTCTCCACTAAGCTGTTTGAACTGGAATGATAAGCAGTAGTACGCATACGCTTGATTCCCAGTAGTTCTGTGAGTTGTTGGAATAAATGGCTTTCGAATTAGGCACCTCTGTCTGTAGTAATAATGCTGGGCACTCCAAAGTTGGAAATCCAATTTTGTATAATGCTCTTTGCAACAGTTTCAGCAGAAATATCAGGTAAGGGACTAGCTACTGGCCATCTCGTAAATCTGTCAATACACGTTAAGATGTACGTAAAGCCATTAGATGATGGTTTAGTGGTTGCAGGTATCGACGTTCGCGAGTTGTACGGATTATACTAACGCAAGATCTTATACCAACAACTTCTATAGTGTTCGTTCTTCGAGTACCAAAGATAAAGCAAAAGACCAGATATTGTCGTCCAAATTACGTAGTATATTTCGGGACAAAATCGCGGGTAGAGGTGAATGCTTAGCTAGCTAGTAATCGTGCACGCACGTGACACGACGGAGTACCAAATGGCGGGGATGCTTGACCGTAAGCCTTCAGCTAAACAAGTCGACTTAAACAGTGATGGTCAGCATCCAATGTTGAGTGATGATTGCTGTGGTTAATAATTTTGGGGAATTATTTACCGCTACAATGGTAACGGTCCAACGATGTCAATGTGTATTTGTTGGAACCTACCATCAGGTTCTGGAAAGTGGCCATTAGGTGAAACTGTATGTCGTTGTACTTTTGACTTTTGGCAGGCTAAACATGATCTGGTCCACTGTTTAATCTCACGATTCATATTCGGCCATATATATCGGTCACTTATCAGTTTAACTGTTGCTCGGATGCCAGGGTGAGAAATGCCATGTATTTTGAAAAAAACTGATCTTCGCATTTCTAGTGGGACAAAAGGACGCGGTTTACCTTAGGAAACATCACACGTAATAGTTAGGCTGTCATTGAGCATAACATCTTGCAAACGTAAAGACGTACTCATGCTATTTTTCAGTCTTTTCAGATCCTCGTCCATAGTTTGCAGTCTAGCCATATTTTTAAGATCAAACTGGTCTCTTTCTAAGGTATTTATATGTATGCGGGATAACGCATCTTCTGCCTCGTTTTTATGTCCTTTGATGAATTAAATATCTGAAGTGATCTGAGAAATGAACTCGAGGTATCGGAGCTCTCTTGGCGAGTACTTGTCGTGCTATGCATTCATGGCCTTGGTTAAAGGTTTGTGGTCTGTGTATATGGTAAATGGTATTCCTTCTACCATATGACGAAAATAATAGAGAAGATTTGTAGCTCAGGTGGATGATTTTGGTGTGGTTGTGTTCTCTGAGCTGGATGGTTTGGTTGCGAAGCTTTCATTGCTCTACTGAGCAACATCTTCAGCGCATACTTCGATGTGAAGTGAGCTTTTAGAATTCTCTATGAGTTTATTAGTCATCTCTTCTAGTGACCCTGAACGTGATTGGTTGTTTTCGTGTGACATTTCACCCCCTAGTTTGCTTGTCTCGGTGCTGGCTGCTTCTTTGGTCTGAATGTCGTTAGTCATTCCTTCTGCTAACCTTGAACGTGATTGGTTGTTTTTGTGTGACTTCTCACTTTCTAGTTCACTTGTTTTGGTGTTGACTGTTTCCTTGACCTGAAGTTTGACTTTGTTTTTCAGACATTCAGACCAAAGAAGCAGCCAGCACCGAGACAAGCAAACTAGGGGGTGAAATGTCACACGAAAACAACCAATCACGTTCAGGGTCACTAGAAGAGATGACTAATAAACTCATAGAGAATTCTAAAAGCTCACTTCACATCGAAGTATGCGCTGAAGATGTTGCTCAGTAGAGCAATGAAAGCTTCGCAACCAAACCATCCAGCTCAGAGAACACAACCACACCAAAATATGACGAAAATGTTTAACAGCAAGATAGACTGCTAGTAATTTCCTACTGAATGCACTATATCTTGATTGAGTGGCGTCTAGACGTTTGAAGAAAAAGGCGAGAGGTTGCCATTTCCCAGCAGAAAATTGTTGAAGAACTGCGTCGACGGCGACGTTTGATGCATCTGTCATAATAGCTATAAGAGCGTCGACGTCGCGACGTACTAGTAAAGTTTCTGAGCTTAGAGTTTGTTTCAGCTTTTCAAATGCTTCGATTGCTGAAATGTTCATGTGCAGCGATTTTGCATGACCTTTTAGTAAATCTGTCAGAGGTTGGGCCAGCTTTGCACAGTGAGGAATGAAACGGCGATAAAAATTGACGAGGCCAAGAAATCGGCGTAACTTTTTGAAGGAATCTGGAATCGGGTATTCTTTAATGACTTGAAGCTGTTCTGTTATCGGTCGAATGCCTTGATTGTCTACCTGATGTCCCAAAAATTTTATAGTTTTCTTACCGAATTCACATTTATTTGGTTTAATGACAATTCCATATTCAGCTAAACATTTGAAGAGTGTTTCTAAGTGATGTTGGTGCTCCTCAGGGGATTTACTTGCAACCAGTATATCACCGATATAAGCGTAAGTGAATGTGAGGCCGTGCAAGACCTGGTCAATGAATCTCTGAAATGTTTGCGCTGCGTTAGTTAAGCCAAATGGTAGGCGGACGAACTCGAATAAGCCAAAAGGAGTGGTTACGGCTGTTTTGGGGATAACCTTGGGCTCGACCGGTATATGGTAGTATGCACGAACGAGGTCAATTTTGGAAAATATCTGAGCACCTGCCATGTTATGGAAAAAATTGTGAATGTGCGGAATCGGGTATCTATCTGCTATCATCTGCTTATTTAAAGCTCGGTAATCTCCACATGGTCGTATCTCTCTTGAGTTTTTCTTTGGTACCATATGCAGTGGTGATGACCATGGGCTGTTTGACGGTCGTATTATTCCTAGATCTCATAATCTGTTGAACTCTGCTTTTGCTATTTGCATTTTAGCTAGATCTAAACGACGTGGTTTTGCTGAGACCGGTGGACCTTTAGTTACAATATGGTGTGTTACGTTGTGTTTGAGAGAGGCTTTGGAGTAATCGCTCTGCGTCAGTTCAGGAAATTTCTTTAGCAAAATATCGTACGTGGATAATTGATCTGCTGTGGCTACCATCAAGCGGATACTCTCGACATCTGTGGAGATGCCTGAAATCGATAGTTTATGACTGCTATTTATCAATCTGTGGTGACTAGAGTCGACTAACAATTCGTAGTGTTGAAGAAAATCCATCCCAATGATAGGAAAGGTTACATCGGCGATTACGAACTCCCACTCAAATGGTGTACTGCAACCAAAATTAAGTTTTTGTTTCCGAGTTCCAAAAGTTTTTATGGTAGAATTGTTCGCAGCCTTGAGAACTAATGCTGGGTTTGGTTGAAACCATTTGCTGGATGTTTGGGGAACTACACTAATTTCTGCGCCGGTATCTACCAGGAATTGTGCCCCAGTTATTTGTCTGTCACCCTGAATAGACGGCTGTGGGACGGGTGTTGGCCAGCGACCGCAGTCGTCACCGACCGCCGGCCTTTTCGTTTTCCGATACCACTGGTTGTTGGAAAGCACACGGCTGTGTGCATCGTTTAGCGTGTACACCAAATTTGCGATGACACCAGCATATAGTCTGTTGCAAGCTATATTTACGTATATTGCGTGAGTGGCTACGCTGTCTTTTGTACGTTGTAATAGGTTATCTATTAACCCTCATTGCCATTAATTGCTCGTTCAGGACGTCTATTTTATGTTCTAAGGCTTCTATGCGTTCGTTTGACGATTTGTCGACTACAGATGTTACTTGTGGCGACATCCGTTCATACATTCTGACAGCGATTCCTGCCAACTTGTCACTATATATGCCTTCATCTCCAAATCCTAATACTTGCTGGATGTTGTGGGGTAATCCCCTTAGCAACAATTGATAGAAAAACCTGGCGTCTATCTTCCGATCTCCTAAAATGTTACACATATGGCTTTTGTGTTGAGAAGGTGTTCTATCGCCCAGGCTAACATTGCTGAGTAGCTGATCGATAGCTTTCTGATCTGGTAATGAAGCAACCTTCATAACCTTCTGCTTTAAAACATCGTAGGGAGTTTCTGGATCTGGATTTATGAGCGTCTCCCGTACTTGCTCTGCTACATCGTCAGGTAATATGGAACTTGCATGGCCAAATTTTGTAGTTTGAGAATTGACGTGATTAGCTAAGAAATAGTGTTCCAGGTGAGTGAACCACAAATACGCATCGTTAGATTTAAAAGGTGGTATGGATATGGTAACTGCAGCCACAGACCTTGTACTTGAAGTGTCGTTATCAGTTTTAAATGACATTACAAAAGTGCAGAAAATAATATATACAGGTGATAGCAAAATTATAAAAAGTGAACACAAACAGAACAGAATATGGGTAAGTTCAAAAATGTCCAAAAATGGTCTGCTTACCGGAGGTACTTTTAGCAAAAATATCAGTAAATATATATCCAAATGTTATGCAGTTATAAAAGTTAATACGATAGCAAAGATGATTAAATCCACTGTGTGTATACTTCGAAATGATGTAGTCGATCGATCAGCTATGTCGGGCTCACCAATTGTTGTGTTGCTCTATTTTGACCAAACTAGCGTACACGTATATCCTAGTACTTCTTCGCGTTTATAATTGTGTCCTAACGTTGTGATTACTCGACATCCACAACATTATTCAAAAGGCACTTGAGAAGGAGTACGATCGTGTATTATCGCAGTAATCAAAATTCAAAAATTGAGCGAGTACAAAAGTATCAATTGTTAACACGCAATATTTAGAGTGATAAACAAATCAAAGTCCAGTTACATAGTGAAAGTATACTACGATGATGAGTAATAAACTGGGTCACTACACCATATCGCGAAACGTAGTTTCTGATAAAAAAAATAACAGACTATTAAAAATCCTATCAGTGAGAGGATTATGTATTACGAAGTGAATCAAATATTTATAAGTCTATTTGCAGTTAATGTTTATACGCGAATCACTCCTGCCGTTTCACTGCAACTTTCAACCTTGGCTATTAAACTTGAAAGCAAGTTGTTGTTCACTGTTTCTTTTCCAGAATGGATTTTATGTTATAGCGATTTATTTTTCTAAAGTTTAAAATAATATGTCTGTGCCAGTTAATGGTCATTATAGCAGAATTCTACCCATTATGGGTAAATTTTATTTTTTATAGAGTCTCACAGTGTTATACAGTAATATTTACTGATGACGTTTCGAGCACAAACTATTGCTCATAATCATATCAAGAATTCTACCCAATTTATATAACTGTATTGCTTTACCTGTTCGTCGATGGCACAGCGGTTAGGATATTATATGATTATGAGCAATAAATTGTGCTCGAAACGTCATCAGTAAACATTACTGTATAACACTGTGAGACTTTATCAAAACAAAATTTACTCATAATGGAATTACACTCTACCACAGTGCACAAGTTTTATTCTTATATCAATGGTTAGGACTCTCGCCAACCATGCACATGGTCCGGGGTTCGATCCTCGGCCGACGCACACCTGATATCCATGATCGGTACGCTAAGTTTGGCCTACCGATATCACAGGCTGAAAATTCCATGTTTTTACCTAAAATACAGAGTGGAATCAAGCTATAAATAAATATATAAATAAAAATAAATTAATACGTATAAACACTTACATACAGTTGTGCTGCTCAATGAGTAAGTTATTTTTTCACAGCGTGGAGCTGAGCAATCAGTCATACTTTAACATTATATAAGTTACTATAGGGTGAGTGTTTAACGTGGTTTGTGAAATTAACCAGGAAGCTTTTTTGAACCAAATACAAACAACTTTGCTGAGTTTAAGCAATGAAAATTTTAGTTTGGTTGGCATCGGACACTACATATTATGGGAACTGATAAACAAAGAAGATAAATTCTCTATATCACTGGGGATAAAATGACATGCATATTTCTCCTTTTTGGAATCAGCAACCGTTTCATTAGCTCCAGAAATGTCTATCTTTAGCATGATAGAATTCATTATTATGTACGTAGTGACGACTTTTGGAGAATGCAGCTACGTGAGGGATGACACCAGAGTATTGGATTATTATTCTTCATTCAAAATATTTTTCTGCCATGCCGATTAGAAAACAGCTAATGACCTAAATAAGAACAAAAATCAGGTTGACCAATGTTATTTAATCCTGTTAAATCAGAATGAATACTTAGCTAACAAGAGATTGTCCAGGAACAACTGAGCCTAGCACCACAGTTGATTATTATTATTATAATATATGTGTAAAACTTGGGCACTGTGGTAGTGAGTAATTCCATATTAGTTTGTTTATTAGGTATATCACACAGTGAAACAGTATTATTTACTGGATGACGTTCCGAACAAAATTTATTGTTCATAATCATATCAATTATCTAATACCCTGCAATGATTGTCAGGTATAGGTCAAACTAGTAGAACAGGGGCAGTCAGACTAGCTGAACATAAAAACTTAGCAAAATCTAGATTGGTTGACCCGAATAAAATAAGAAATCTAGAGAATAGTTCAGCTATAGCACTACATGCAGTCACACACAACCATACAATAGGATGGGATAGGATGACAGTTTTAAAATCTAATGTCACAGGGTATAGGGAGAGATTGATAACAGAAGCTTTGTTTATTGAATCAACTGCAAATACATGTAATAGGAATGATTCATCACCTGTCCCCGATATCTGGAAAATTCTACTCCCCCTACGAAAAATTGAAGAAAACAAAGAAAGCTATAAAACTCACGTGTCAAAGTCGTGTGATCACAATTTATATGATTATGAACAATAAATTTTGTTCGAAACGTCATCCAGTAAATAATACTGTTTCACTGTGTGATATACCTAATAAACAAACTAATATGGTATTATTATTATTATAGTTCCCTTGGGTTCCTAGTGGAACATAGGGCTTCAACTGCACGGCATATGTGTTGGGCGATTGGTTCTTGTTTTGTTTGTTCCCATAGCTTCTTGTTGGTGATTCTTTCCGGCCATCTGATTTTCAGTATAGAACGAAGACAGTTGTTGATAAAGGTCTGCAACCTGTTGGAAATATTCTTTGTGACCCGCCAAGTTTCTGATCCGTAAAGCAAAACTGACTTAACGTTTGTATTGAAAATCCGAATTTTGTTGTTGATGCAGGCTGAGTGACGAAGATTTCCAGATTGGTTTCAGGTTGATGAATGTGTTTCTCGCCTTCCCGATTCTCGATTTGACATCCTCGTCCGTTCCTCCTGTGGTTGAGACAATGCTCCCTAGATAAGCGAAAGAAGTAACCTCTTTCAAATCCCTCCCGTTGATAGTGATTGGCACTGGATGTTGCTGCTGCTACAAAATTGCTACAAAAACTTCAACGCACCACGGTTGAAGTTAAGATTAATGAAAAGTGAAGGAACTAGTTAGTGATTATTGTCTAATATATTTCTCTAAAGTGAACTGAGTTTATAACAAGATTGCATGCTTCCGACATTTCTTAAGTCTATATACAAAAGTTCCATAGCCTATAGACATACCTTTAATCAACTACTTAATTTAGTGTAACATCTTCTGTCTTTCCGATTATCATTTATTCAGATTTAATCTCAGAATTAATATGATGCACCCTGCACGAACACTGACTTTTAATGTATCATTTATCACAAAGAACCTTACTCTGTTAATTCATTTCGATGACAGATAGGGTTGGAAAAATATTTTGAAACATTTTCACTTAATTGTTCAGTTTCAAAACAAAAGGTCTAAGGGTTCCTCACACATGCAACTAACGGAAAGTGCTTCCCAACTTATGCCTTACGAATATGCACACAAATTTACAAAAAAATAATCTCAGAGCTCATATATCCAGTCACTGGTTATTAAGTCACCACGACATATACTAAGTACATCTGAAATTTAATAAAACGTCCCAATCATTTCTTAAAATATTTATTTAAATTAAATCACACTATGGATCTACAATGTAGCTCAATGATTCCAGCTTACAGTCTTCCATCATAACTTTCTTTATATATCGTGCAGTCTATTAATGAATAAGACTGTAAATAAAACTTTCATTTCCACTAGTTTAGATGATGAAGGATATCTATGGAAATTTAAGATACACCATAAGCAGGTATAAGTGTATATTCTCTAACTTCCAATGTACTTGTTCTACTCAGACTGTTTGGAAGTCAAATAAAAATAACAGATTAAACGTTCAAAATATGAGATGTATTTCGGGATCAGAAATGTGAAGCCAACCGAATGTAACACAGCAGCGTGTCAAATGCATGGTTGCTTAACAGCTCACCTTCAGATAAACCAGTCAATGTACACAGTGAAGATCAGCAGCCAATTCCGAATGGTGGAAGCTGTATGCTAAAATTTTTAGAGATTATCTATGGACATAAAAATTTCGAAATGGTCAACTAAATGTCAATTGTCTGGAGGATTTCATTATGAGCTGACATCAGTTAGAGAACCATTGGAAAACCAACTGGGAGTACTGCACAGCTGTTTCGTCCTGGTTTGGGACTCTTCATCAGCACACACCCACCGGGGCTCAAACTCAGGACCTTCTGGTTACAAGGCCAGCGAGCTCGGAGACCACTAAGCCACTGGGATCCGATCCAATGGCTGGCCCATGAATTCCAACTTCTGGCAATTCACAACATAGCGCAACCACTTAGCTATGTTTCCTTCGATGAGTTACTGCCTCACCTTCGACATGCTGTGCCCTACTGGTGAGGACAGTTACTCATCGAGGGAGACATAGCTAAGTGGTTGTGCTGTGTCGTGAATTGGCAGAAGTGGGTATTCATGGGCCAGCCATTGGATCGGATCCCAGTGGCTTAGTGGTCTCCGAGCTCGCTGGCCTTGTAACCAGAAGGTCCTGAGTTTGAGCCCCGGTGGGTGTGTGCTGATGAAGAGTCCCAAACCAGGACGAAACAGCTGTGCAGTACTCCCAGTTGGTTTTCCAATGGTTCTCTAACTGATGTCAGCTCATAATGAAATCCTCCAGACAATCAAACAAAATCCCTACAAAACCAATACTTGTAAATGTTAATTCTTAAAAAAATAGTTTTCTAGTCTGATTCAACCTTATTTCGCATTTACTAATCGAATTCCCAAAGTTACAGTAGTATTTTAATCCGATCTACTGTGAATACTCTTGAGATAATCACGTAATATAATTTTGAAATTATAGTGTAAGATTAGGCGGAGTGAGTGAACGCGAACATTAAAAGAGTAATTTAGTCCTCCGCAAATCATTACCTTTCAACGAGCTCTAAGAACAACGAAAGATCTAATCACACATTTTCCAGATTATTTCTTTTCATTCATTGTTCACAAAACATTTATTTGATATCCGACTCTTTAAATCTTTGATTATTTAGAAGGTGATTAAAAAGACAGAGTTGACTTACTCTTATGTTACAGTGCTTTGTTTCATGAAAATCTTTCTTTTGCTTCTCTGTTTTCATGGTCTGTGTTCCCTTTCTTATTTGTCTGAATTTGGTTGCACTTGAAAAGTAAGTGAAACAATAACGTCATGCTTGTATTTGGATTATATGGCAATTTTTGCAGTCATTATTGCATAATTCTTCGGTCTTCTTAACTGTCTCATTCGGTTTAAAATACTCATTTGAATTATCTAGATAATATCCCACTATTTCATTTCATTGAAATTGATATGAAAATAAGTGGGTATGCTTTGCGTTCAATTTAATAAAATCTGGGATCATTTCTATCCTGGACCTCTACCAGTGTTAGAAATCGTGGAATACAAAATAACAAAGGTAAACGACTTTGCCACTGCTAGTCACTTTGATGTTTAACAAGTCTTATCAAGTGAAAGTGTACTGTGACATGGGAAAATTGTTGACGGTAAAAGACATTTTGCTAGTCTGTTCAAATATATGAGAATAAATATGTCCAAATACTAGTTCACTGTCAATCTTAGGTCTTTTGAATGATTTAGCAATATGCCCTGTACTGTCAGTCTAGGAAAATCGAACGTGGTTATTGG